AAAACTACGATTTATTACTGGACAAAACGAATACATACATAAATGTATAAATGCGATTCGTATTAGCAAAACGAATAAACATAATGTGTTACATCTTTTCTCCTTTGTAAAGTTTCTTTCATTGTCCAATTAGTCAAGATCAAATTTCAAAATGATTGAGTTCAAAGAAATCATCAAGGTAGCATTAAATTAACTTGTAAATGCAAAATGTATGAATTATGATTTTTTTTAACTCTACATACAGACATAATACAGTACAGATGATAACAATTTGAGCTCTTGCTCAAAATTGGTAAGCCAGGGATTATTATGCCCTATTCACAACTTACCAAACATAATTTCATAAACACAAATAATGCACTGACAATGTTACTTTACATAGTCATTGAATCGGATGGGCACTTTCACTTCGCGTCCTGATCTGGTGATTGTCTGCGGTGCCTTTAATGTATCCTGCTCTTTTGCGGACTCGATCATCTGTTTCGAATCAGACATTTGAATTGGCTTCTCTTGTTCGACACGTATCTCTCGGTAATCCTCAAGGGCTATATCAGCACTTTCCGACTGTTCTTGATGTTTGCTGGGTCTTAGATGTCGTCTATTCCTCCGGTAGTGTTGACCATCAGACTGGACCTCATAAGAGCTATTTGGTAAAACTTTGGTCACTACCCCTTTCTTCCATTCTTTTGACTGTCCGATTCCATCAGGTGGTGCAATGCGCACAAGGTCTTGAATCTTCAATGGTTTCAGATCCTTGGCCCCACGATTGTAGTAATGTGCTTGTTGTTCTTTCAGTCTCACAAGCTTCCTTCCCTGCTCCTTCAGATCTGGAAATTCCGGCACTAGTAACGACTGTTTAGTAGGCAATAATGTTTTCGTTCTCCTATTCATGAGACGTTGTGCTGGACTTGTTCCCATGCCTTGTGTAGGTGTATTCCGAAAGTCCAGTAAGGCCAGATAAGGGTCTGAATTAGACTTCACTGCGCACTTCATCAATCTCTTTGCCATTTTCACGGCCTGCTCGGCTCTGCCATTGCTCTGAGGGTATTTTGGAGAACTTGTAATGTGTTTAATTCCCAAAGGTGAGCATATTCAGCAAACTCATCTGAGCTAAACTGCGGTCCATTGTCACTGACAAGAGAGTAAGGTATCCCGTATCTCGCAAAATGAGCTCTGAGTTTCTTGATTACGGTTTTCGATGTTGAACGGGAGATGTGGTCAACTTCCCAGAAATTCGAAAAGTAATCAACGGTCACCAGATAATGTTGGCCATCAAATGTAAAAATGTCACAAGCAATCTTTCCCCAAGGTTTATCTGGAACTTCATGTGACTTAAGTGTCACTTTGCACTGTTTGTCATCTAACGATCTGCATATGTCCCATCGGCTGATGAAATCTTTGGTCTCGGCATTCATGCCTGGCCAGAATAAGTTCTCACGTGCACGACGTGGACTTCCTTCCACTCCTATGTGAGACTTGTGAATCTTGCATAACATGTCCTGCCTCATGCTGATGGGTATCACAATTCTGTCTCCGCAGAAGATAACTCCATCCTGTACGACTAGCTCATCTCGAAAATTGAAATATGGCCGCACTATGTCCTTGACCTCAGATACCATTTTGGGCCACACGGTAAGTATTACATGAATGAGTGCCTGTAATGTGTTATCTCGTCGAGTTTTGTCTCTAATTTCTTGAAAACTATCTCCTACCGTCCGCTGTAGATGTGTGAAATGAACTATTTCATCTAGGAGTGCACCTGTACGATCACTGTTCTGTAAGTATGCTCTACTAAGCGTATTGGCTAAGTGCATTTCCTTGCCGGGATGATACTCTAGCTTTGTTGAGTATTTCTGCAGTCGAAGCAGCATCCTCTGTAACGTTTCGGTGCTGTATGAAGTGGCTTCTTCATTATGATCTCTAAGGGTTTGTGATCACTTTGGACTGTAACGTTTCGTCCATACGTATACTGATGAAACTTTTCTAATCCAAACACAACAGCGAGAAGTTCCTTTTCTATTTGGGCATATCTCGTCTCTGTGTCTGTGAGGGCTCTGCTGGCGTACGCTATCGGTTTCCCAAGTTGTAGCAGTGCTGCACCCAATCCTGTCTCCGAAGAATCACATTGTAAGGTAAGTTCCTTATTTGGGTCATAGTAGCTTAGAATTGGTTCTGACGTCACCAATCTTTTGACTTTCTCTACTGCTAAGTCATTAATCTCGTGCCAGCTCCACAATGTGTCTTTCACTGTAAGCTTTCGTAGCGGCTCACAAATGTCACTCAAACTCGGTAGAAACTTGCTTAGGTAGTTAACGAATTCCAGGAAGCGTCTCACTCCTGCGACATCTGTTGGATTCGGCATTTCGTTCACAGCTTTGACTTTCTCAGGGTCGGGTTTCAAACCGTCCTTTGTTATGAGATGTCCTACAAATCTCACTTCCGTCTCACGAAGTCTTAGTTTGTCCTTGTTGAGCACAAGTCCTCGTTCACGACATCTCTTCATGAGTGCTTTCAGTTTCTGGTCATGGTCAACAATGGCATCCTCTTCTGTGTCGCCTTCACCATAAACTAATACGTCGTCAGCAATACTCAAGACACCTGGTAGTCCTTCTACCGCCTGATCTTGACGACGTTGATACTCTTCCGGTGCAGTCGAGATACCGAAGGGCATCCTTAACCATCTGAATCGTCCAAATGGGGTGTTGAATGTAGTAAGCATAGAGCTTTCCTTATCTAATTCAACATGCCAAAATCCATTACGTGCATCCAGAACACTAAATACTTTTGCACGAGAAAGGCTTGGAAGTATTTCCTCTATCGTAGGAAGTGGATAATGGCTCCTCTTAAGTGCTTTGTTCAAGTCCTTCGGATCTATGCAGATTCTGACTTTGTTTGGTTTCACGACCATCAAACAGCTGGAGACCCATGGTGTTGGTTCACTTACTGGTGTAATAATGTTCATTTCCTGAAGTCTGTCAAGTTCTGCTTTTAACAATGGCTTCAGTGCGATAGGCACTTTCCTTGGTGGATGAACTACAGGCTGTATGTTTTCATCTAGAACTAAGTGATATTTTCCTGCGAGACGACCTACTCCTTCAAAGACATCTGGATACTCTGCAAAGAGCTGCTTCTTGCTGAGAGGTGATGGTAACAGCTGTCTCAAACTTAGAATGTTCTCCTTTCTCCAGTTCAAGAGCTCCATGTGCTGTAGAGTTTTATTTCCTAAGAGTGGCATGCAGTCTCCTTGATCACAACAAATTCAGTGTCATTCCTTGGATTGGTAACTTGCAAGTGTACTTTCCTAGAGGCCTTATGGTAGATTTGTTGTACATCTTCAAGGTGTAATTTGTAGGCTGAAGTGGCGGCATGTTTGGAATCACACTATGTGGTAAAATGTTACATGTGGCCCCACTGTCCAGTTGAAATGTCACTTTCTTTCCATGAATTATCATAGACACATGTACACTGTTGGAAACTGAGTGTGCAGAATGTGTGTTTTCTTCTTGAATGGTCCAAACTGAATAGTCATCATCACTGTCGGTGTCTGAACAACCTGTCCCAATGTGATGTACAGTTTTCTTCTTGTACTTTGGTTGTGATTTCTTGGTAGCACTTCTGCATACTGTTTCGAAGTGATTCATTGTATGGCACAGTCGACACGTCTTTCCATATGCCGGACATTTTTCTTTCTTGGGCTCATGTACTTTGGCACAATACCGGTATTTACAAGGTTTGTTGTTATCTGCGTGTGAATGTTTACTTCCACTTGTCTTTGCACTGGGTTTACCTTTGCCGATTTTGTTGACATTTTCTGTATGGCTGCTTAACGAATTGTTGTTGCCGTCCAATACACTAATTCCTTGTTTTGTGATTTCTACTGCACGCGTTATGTCGACACACTTATCCAGGGTAAGTTCTGGTGTTCTTAACAAACGTTTTCTCAGGTGTGAGTCAAGTATCCCGCAAACTATTCTGTCTCTCACTAGTGAATCAACCATTTTTCCATAGTTACACTTTGCAGCTAATGTTTTTAGATCAGTAATAAAAGTTTCTATTGTCTCACCTTGTTCCTGTTTCCTCATATTGAACCTGAATCGCTCTACTGTTTCGTTTCTTTTGGGTCTACAGTAAGCGTCAAAAGCTTCAAGGACGTCTTTTAATTATATGTCCTTTTTTTCCAAACTTCAGTGTGCTGTAAATCTCTCTGCCATCAGCGCCGATCAAATATTTCAGTAATTGTAACTTAGCTTTGTCTTCTGCATCCTTCATCGTTCGAGATGCATAGAGTTCAAATTCTTCTCTCCATTTTCTCCAGTCTTCACTAATATTCTTAGTGTTGAACTTTATTTTACCAGGGGGTGTCAATCGTTCGAGCGCCATTTCCCGACCGGGCTGTCGTAATCACGATGCAGCGCGCCAAATCGAAATATGCACAATATACTCAAGATATGGCGAGAAAAACAGTTCTGCTCAATCCTGTAATCCTCTTCTATAATCCTGCATCTGACACCATGTTTCACTTAGTGGGTTACTAATGCAATGAGCATAATTATAAAATCCCCAGGCACGTTGGCAAGAACTACAGCCATGAACGATAACCAAAACTACGATTTATTACTGGACAAAACGAATACATACATAAATGTAAAAATGCGATTAGTATTAGCAAAACGAATAAACATAATGTGTTACAAATAGGTTTATACCTTTATGGTTTTTATCACCTCATGTTTTGGAAGCGATCTCAAAACCTAGATGGTTAAACCAAACCAATAGTTGGGTCTGAAACGTGTTTATGCGTATCCCCCTTTCAACATCTGTATGTAATGCAAAATTCAATTCATATAATTGTTAAAAACTACCTGGTTTTGACTCGGAGAAAAAACGCCTGAAGATATTTCAGCATACACCTATCGTTTAAATCTCTAATTTGAAAACTTTTTAAAAAATCTTCTACACGTTTTTTGACAGACATGTTCTTAAATATAAAAATATTTTAGATGAATTTCAAAAAATGTCTGGCGAAGAGGTAGCCATGCTTTTCTCCTTTCTGTGTTCTGACACCGGTTGTCCTAACTTTAATGACAGAGAGAGGCTTGGAATATTCAATCACATTCGAAAATACTGCGATATGGAGACTAAATCCAGTGACAGTCTTATATTAATTCGGCATAAATGCAGTGAGAAAGATTTTTTATCGAGTGAGGAGGCATACCAAATACTAGACAAACTAAAGGCAACTGAATTTCTTTATGAGGATCAAAATGAAGTTAATATAACTGAGGATGCCGCAGATGAAACAATGTATTGTATTGTACAGCGTTCCGTCAAATACAGTGTCTACAAATTGTTCTTATTTAGTTTCACCACAACACTGAAATACTTTAGAACGCGAGGATACCATAGAAAGCCTCGAGAAAAATGTCTGATTAGTGGAAGCTCACAAGGTGATAAAATTATAATTCACCGCCTACAAATGAATATTCTGACGCATATTACTATGGAGGATAAAAACATCTTTCCTTATGTGTTCCAGATACGTAAGTCATTAAAATTTAATATTAGGTAGAGATTGACAAGAAAACCAATTATAATGAAGAAAACACAATTAATCAAAATATATTTAAACTTAATTAAAATACATTTAAGCATTCTGCTTTAAAATATATTTCAAAAATACATTGAGACGTAAAATTCACATAAATAAGTCATTTGTAGGTTTTGCGCAGAAATATACCTTCATCTTTAGTAATCTAGATGAAATTGTGAACACAAAGGGTTTCAGATAATTAACTACTTTTTTCCTAAAGTTTATTTGAAAAAACATTTTACATGTAATCTATATTAAGCAAAAACAATACTATGCTTAAGACAATATAATAATATTTTAATTTTCTCTGATTAAAAATCTATAAATTCAGCAACTACTTCACTTGATTTTTTTTTCTTTATAAATATATTTTCAAATAGTGAATATTCCTGATGCTGTATCAAATAAAGATGGAGATGAAAGGAAAACTTTTATAACAGATCTAGAGAAAAAAGGGGAGATCCTTAACTACAGTGGGAAATCTCAGAGCCAAGCACAAGTCAAATGGTTTCATAGATTCTGGAGACCTGCCATAGTGCGATCCTGTGTAGGGAATCACCCACACATGGATATTTACATCATTAATAACAAGGCTTACAAAGTACCAAGTAAGTGATAGAATCATCGGAGTCCAATGTAATTATTTAATCATTATGAAACAAATTGTCTTCACTACTAAAACGAATAATCACACTGGAAGTAAACAAACCAATAATTGCAATTCCAGTTTTGTGTTTTTTTTAAATATTTTTTTTGAAATGTTCCCATTTGATATGAGGGTTGATCCACACGTAATGTCACAACTTCGATAAAATTACTAATAGTCTACGTAAAACAACAAAATTATACATTTTGTAAGCTTTTTTAATTTCAAATTAGACCTGAAAAATCAAATTCATATGATTTATACTATTCAAAATATCGACTTAAATACATCGTGTGGTTATGGAAGTCACCACACCTAAATAACGTCATGTGACGTCGTGTGTCGGGTATGCGCCGTCATACGCTTAAACACTTTCCCGTCGGTTCAGTAAAATATTTTAGAATCACGAAAACGTTCATATATTTTACCTTCTTTAATAATTCTTGGCACCCATTGTACAATCGATATTTCATGATTAAAAACTCTGTTAAAACGTTTTGAACAGTTCCATATTGCAAGCTTAAATATTCGTTTATTGCTCTAACCGTGAGACTTCTGTAAGTTTACCGTTCCTGTAATTCAAAGAAATTTGACATACGGTGCCACACTAAGAATAAGATTTAAACTTTTGAACTTCTCGTTCTTCTTCGCTTCTCGCTTACAGTCTATCTTTATTGAAATTGATATCTGAATTGCTTTGTGGCATAAAACAAATGTGAAACATGTTTCATAAGAAAAGGCTAAAATTAATTATAATTCGCGACTATTTTTGGGAGTTGAACTATGTTCAATCTCCCATGGTCATCACGTATTTAACATGCGCAGTAATTTGTGTTGATTATATAGAGCCGAAAGCGAGGCTACTGTGTTGACCAATTTACTCCGATGATATTCAACAGAAAACATGCATAAACATCTGCCACAAATAGTTCATGTCATTTTCTCCTGAATTGATCTAATTTTCATAATTTGAAATGTAAGTAAATGTAATAATGATAAAGTAATCTTATTTTGAATATTATATTTCGTTCAAAGTAAAATTAAATTATCAAGAACCTCAACAGTTTTTAGCTCACTTGAGCCGAAGGCTCAAGTGAGCTTTTCTGATCAAAATTTGTCCGTCGTCTGTCGTTGTCGTTGTTAACTTTTCACATTTTCATCTTCTTCTCAAGAACCACTGAGCCAATTTCAGCCAAACTTGGCACAAAATATCCTTGGGTGAAGGGGATTCAAGTTTGTTCAAATGAAGGGCCACGCCCTTTTCCAAGGGGAGATAATCATGATTTAGAGAAAAATTATTGGCATTTTTAGCTCACCTGAGCTGAAGGCTCAAGTGAGCTTTTCTGATCAAAATTTGTCCGTTGTCGTCGTCATCGTCGTCGTCGTTAACTTTTCACATTTTCGACTTCTTCTCAAGAACCACTGGGCCAATTTCAACCAAACTTTACACAAAGTATCCTTAGGTGAAGGGGATTCAAATTGTTCAAATGAAGGGCCACGCCCTCTTCTAAGGGGAGATAATTATGAATTAGTAAAAAATTAATGGAATTTTAAAAAAATCTTCTTCTCAAGAACCACTGAGCCAGGAAATATGAAACTCATGTGGAAGCATCGTCAGGTAGTGTAGATTCAAGTTTGTTCAAATCATGACCCCCGGGGGGTAGGGTGGGGCCACAATGGCTGATCAGTGTTTTACATAGGAGCATCTAGGGAAAATCTTTAAAAATCTCCTTCTCAAGAACCACTGGGCCAGGAAAGATGAAACTCATGTGGAAGCATCGTCAGATAGTGTAGATTCAAGTTTGTTTAAATCATGACCCCCGGGGGTAGGGTGGGGCCACAATGGCTGATCAAAGTTTTACATAGGAGTATATATTGAAAATTTTTAAAAATCTTCTTCTCAAGAACCACAGGGCCAGGAAAGATGAAACTCATGTGGAAGCATCCTCAGGTATTGTAGATTCAAATTTGTTCAAATCATGACCCCTATAGGAATATATAGGAAAAATCTTTATAAAAATCGTCTTCTCAAGTGCTTCAAAGCAAAGATTAGTGATAGTATAGGAAGAAAATGTTTTTAAGAAATCTTTTTATCAAGAACAGCAAAGTCATATGCTGTATTAATATGAAGGCATTCTAAAGTAGTATTAAATTCAAGCCCCCCACCCTTTAATAAACTTTTCAATTCTGATCTGATGTGTTTTTTCCTAGACGATTTGCTCAGGTGAGCAATGTGGCCCCTGGGCCTCTTGTTAAAAAATCTTCTCCTCAAGAACCACTGGGCCAGGAAAGATGAAACTCATGTGGAATCATCCTCAGGTAGAGTAGATTCAAGTTTGTTCAAGTCATGACCCCCGGGGGTAATGCGGGGCCAAAATGGCTGATCAAAGTTTTACATAGGAATATATAGGAAAAATCTTTAAAAATCTTCTTCTCAAGAACCACTGGGCCAGGAAAGATGAAACTCATGTGGAATCATCCTCAGGTAGTGTAGATTCAAGTTTGTTCAAGTCATGACCCCCGGGGGTAGTGCGGGGCCAAAATGGCCGATCAAAGTTTTACATAGGAATAGTTAGGAAAAATCTTTAAAAATCTTCTTCTCAAGAACCACTGGGCCAGGAAAGATGAAACTCATGTGGAATCATCCTCAGGTAGTGTAGATTCAAGTTTGTTCAAGCCATGACCCCCGGGGGTAGGGCAAGGCCAAAATGGCCGATCAAAGTTTTACATAGGAATATATAGGAAAAATCTTTAAAAATCTTCTTCTCAAGAACCACTGGCCCAGGAAAGATGAAACTCATGTGAAATCATCCTCAGGTAGTGTAGATTCAAGTTTGTTCAAGCCATGACCCCCGGGGGTAGGGCGGGCCAAAATGGCCGATCAAAGTTTTACATAGGAATATATAGGAAAAATCTTTAAAAATCTTTTTCTCAAGAACCACTGGGCCAGGTAAAATGAAACTCATGTGGTATCATCCTCAGGTAGTGTAGATTCAAGTTTGTTCAAGTCATGACTCCTCGGGGTAGGGCGGGGCCAAGATGGCCGATCAAAGTTTTACATAGGAATATATAGGAAAAATCTTTAAAAATTCTTTTCTCAAGAACCATTGAAACAGGAAAGATGAAACTCATGTGAAATTATCCTCAGGTAGTGTAGATTCAAGTTTGTTCATGTCATGACCCCGGGGTAAGGGCGGGGCCAAAATGGCCGATCAAAGTTTTACATAGGAATATATAGGAAAAATCTTTAAAAATCTTCTTAAGAACCATTGAAACAGGAAAGATGAAACTCATGTGAAATTATCCTTAGGTAGTGTAGATTCAAGTTTGTTCAAGTCATGACCCCGAGGTAAGGGTGTGGCCAAAATGGCCGACCAAAGTTTTACATAGAAATATATAGGGAAACCTTTTTAAATCTTCTTTTCAAGTACTTCAAAGCCAGGATTAGTAATATTTGTATTGAATCATCCTCAGGTAATGTAGATTCTAGTTCGTTCAAATTATGATCCCCTTGCGGGTTAAAATTCACCCCCCAACTTAAATTTACTTTCAATTCTGATCTGATATGTGTTTTTTTCTAGCTGATGTGCTCAGGTGAGCGCTGTGGCCCCTGGGCCTCTTGTTCGTAATGGAACTCATTTTTTGTGTGGCGTCATACACAGAAAAAGATACGATCGACAACTCTACATACTAACGGCAAGCGGTAAATCTAGTCGTCCCGACACCCGACGGTCCCGGATTTTTAGCAATTTTTTTTTTACCGGTGCACAGAATTTATTCAAACTTTTCATAAACATTTTCAAAAACTTTAGGAAACATGCGTATTTATTACTAAATCAGCAGTATCGCCTGCCAAAAGCCGTAAATCTAGTACTCTGTTATCAATGTTAAAACCAAAAAACGGACACTGATGTTTTCGTAAAATCATTTCGTAAAAACAACAAAATGAAGTTGTTTTTTTTTTAATAAAAGGAAAACCTCATTTACATATCAGATAACTTGTACGCACACAAACTCTCACATATACCACTGTTTTTATGTTTGGTCATTAAATATTTTCTTCACAATATTAAAAAAGATTAAGTTCTGACGTTCTCCATGTATAATGTTCGTGTAATTGAAATACATTTATATTCACAGAGAAGTTTTATATAACAAACCTGTTAGCTCTTAAAAGGATGCTGTGTTAAAATCCATATTTTATCAACATTGATATTATTCCTGCGAAACTGAAATTTTCAAAACACATGGGTAAAGGTGCCAGGGAAAAATATCTTACAAATTTGAAGACTGTGAGCAGTGAATTATATAAATGATCAGCCACCTCTAATATGAATATAATAGCAGTGTCCACGTTTTGCAATGGGAAACCCAAAATATGTGTAGGATGGAAAAGTAATAGAAGGTGCACAACGGCAATATGTAATAAAGATTCCATGAAAATTTCGTTCAGTGGTGTAAGAGGAGTTACGGATAAGAGATGGGTATACCTAAAGCGTAACAAACAGATAGATAAAAATCCAGATTATGTTCTTATTCGTTTCCACTCAAACGAACATAAATAATTTATAAAATAAATAACAACACGTATATAGGTAGGTACAGAAGCGCTCTCGTAAGTGCAGTTTAATATTGTACACAAAATATACATTTCCAACTTTCCTCCTTGACAACTCATCCAATCTACAAAACAAAACATATAATTAATAAAACAAACATGATACTTGTGAGGGTGGGTGGACGGGGCAATGTCTGACTGCACTGAGAAAGAGCCTTCGAATGGCATTTAAATCTTACACACGCTAAAGCGTGCGTGCTTTAACAGAATACCTGTAGAACAGGTATTCTATAAATACTTCAACCAATCAGACCGACACTCTTCATATACACTAGATTAACACGTATCCAATTGGTACACGTGTTATGATAACTTCAATAAATACATTTAATAAATACCCTCCCGCTTTTCAAGCAGGGGGTATAAAAAACACTAATGTAGGCAGGCAAGAATATGGCCCCTGCATTATTCAATGTCTCTGAATGTCTGTATTTGAAATAATAATATTGATTACTCACTTAACCTCCCGATCAAAGATTTTATTTAACACCACGTTCAACTCCCATGAGTGCTTTCTGTACTTTGATTATTCATTGTCAATCCAACTGGAGAATGTGTGATTGTGAAAAGTGTTACATGTACATGTACGCTGTTTGCATTCAACTGAAGCGTTAATTTTTTTTAGAAAAAAATGACATGTATCTATAACAAAGATAAAAGAAAATCAACTTAAAAAGAATTTTGTTATTTATTTTGATCACTTTTCATTCCTTTAGGTCGGTATCACAGTTACTCGTGGGACATCAAAAGTCTGCTCTACAGCATATTGTTTTTGGACAACTACACTTTTAAAGTCTCTGATATTTCTCATAAAACTTTACTGAAGGAAATCAGAGGAAGATACTATGCAACAGAAACTATATCTGAAGATTTTGACTCAACACGTCTGCCTAATGATTGCGTGCAAACACAATATAATACCGTGACATTTATATCAGACGACATCCGACATGACGTCATGTACGCCTTTGTTACGGAGTGTCTGGTGGAGGACAGTGATTTGGAGTTTTTCCTGACCACGGCATCACGTGACGTGATCTCAGAATACTGCAGGTCCTGGAATTATAAGAGGAAGGAAAAAGAAAGGTGCATCTATATACCAAATAGGCACAGGGATCTGTACGGATATTTCATTGATAAACTACAGCTTGACATCATCAAACACTGCACTGTTTCGGACCAAAGTATTCGTAGCAAGATCTGCGAATGTTGTGAGTATATTTTTCGAATTTTGCGAACAATGCCATTTCAGAAATACCATATGACATATGTACAACCAATATACTAGTATGTAAAATGTTTGCTACATTTCAAGGCGAATTTAAACCAGAATATTTAGTCATTTTCGTTAAAAATTCAATTAATTAGACTTCAATCAACCAACCTTGTCTATTGAAATTATGAAATTATGAAAAATCAATAGAGTCTCAGGATATGAATGATCATATTTGGTCACGTGTGTTTTAAAAAGTCCGTGGATATCGTGAATTAGGAGACTAATGAAGTTTGTAACATTAATAAATCCAAAGTTTTATCTTTCAAATCTTTACATGTATATATATATAGGTATATATCAGTTTTGTTTGTACCTCACCGAATAACGTCATATACACTGGACAAAATTGCAAACGCACCACCTAAGAAAATTACTATTTTACTTTTAAAATCTTGTTTATTATGTATTTGATATATGAGTATGTTACTTTAACAAAAAATAAGGCTTATTAATGCTTAACCTTATAAATAACTACAATGTTTATTGAAGTGTGACCAATTCGTAGAAAAAGATATAATCTTGTCTATTCCATTTTTGAAGAAAACGAATTCAAATTTTTCTTTGGTTTTATGTTCTTTACATTTGTACTAATTTAAAAAAACAGGTTAAAAGTACACCGTATGCGGCGTTTGACGCTAGAAGAGCGTGCAAACGCAGACAGGATGGCGTCTGCAGGGGGGTTTCTTTAGAAAAATTTGTAAAAAATAAAAACAATAGAAAGGTTATGAATTCCACTCTTAAAAATTGTTCCGAATAGATTAACAAACATAAAAATATTTACTATAAATAATCACGGCATTAAGTTTGCAGCATAAAAGAAATTTAAAAATGTTCCACAAAACTGGGTAGACCGGAAGTGGAGTGGATTTGGTATGGACACTAAGGTATCAGATGATTACTAGGAGACATGAGAGTCAATGACTCTTTGTAATTTGATTTTTAAGTGAGGACTACTCCTACAATGTAGGGCAATCTCACAGACCCCTTAAGTGATCAAGAATTTCATACATGTGCAAAATTGGTGCGCAGTACACAGCTGGAAATTGGTTTTTGGACAAGAAGGGTTTTCGTGGGTTTGTTCATGATGCCAAGACATTTGTCACTCCCACTGCTTTTGAAATCATGGCATATCATATACACTAGAACTGATCCGGCAAATGTTCAATATACACAATGAAAATTTACAAGTGGTGCGTTAGCAATTTTGTCTAGTGTATAAAACTCTTTTACACCCTTTAGGGGGAAACATGGAAAACAGACAAACGGACAGCTAGACAGACATACACGTATCAATAATACAATAATCCATCATTTTAATCCTACTTTGCGAAATTCATTTCCCGTTCTAACACCCAAAGAAAGAATTTAATCTTTTCACATATAAAAACTAACTTAGCAAAAGGCGAGGAAATTTATTTAAAAGTTTCAATATATATAATAACATTTGTTCAATGTAAAGAAGAGGATCACAATTTCAATTTAAGGTTTTGAAAAGATACAATGCAATTATATATTGATAGTAAAAGTTCCAGAAGAAATACTACATTGGGACCAGCGAGCTCGAGAACAATACGTTGAGTGTGCTTCGCAAGGAACGCATACGGTACACCATGCTAGGGGGATGATAGTAGGTTGTGCACAAGCTGGTAAAACAACCCTCCTGAAACGTCTGATGGGATGTAGTAAGAGGGAGATTCTGAATGTCACCCCAACAGAAGGTTTGGAGGTCCACGAAAAAATACTAGAGATTTGTGAGGAAAATGATACTAAATTTCTCAAAGGTGTGAATAAAGTTGGTTTTATAAGCTAAATATATCATTTCAGTGTATATGATTGTGTATATTGCAATATTCAAAATATCGAAAATAGATTCATACATAATAACTTGATACGCGCATGACTTATGAACTTAATTAATGGCTGCACTTGAAAAAGAATTAAAAGAAAAGTGTTTTACACTTACACAGATAGCAAAATAACTTTTGATAATGTGAATATTTTATTTTAATTTGATAACAGCTACATCATTGCATGAAAATGGAAGAGGTGTAAATGTAATTGATAATCACAAGAAGACCTTGAGTTTCTTTGACTTTGGAGGACAGTGTGCGTACTACGCCTGTCATCAGATTTATCTAACAAGAAGAGCCTTCTATATCATTGTGGTAGACGCCTCAAAGAAACTTGATGAAAAAGTAAATGAGAATGTGTGCGATCAAAAAGGAACTTTGTTCTCTGAATGGATCTACGGTGGTAAGCCAAACAAGTATTTATCTAATTAGGTTTATTTGCATATAAAGAACATTCTTAAGGAAAAAACAAGGATAAATCAATTCTTTTTCAGTTTTCGAGAGAAATATAAAAAATAATAGTTTTTTCTAATTTTTTTTTTATATTTTTTTTACAAAAATCGTTGTCCATTACTTGTTCTGTACAAATATCTTCAAAGTGCGCGTAAAGTCGCCCTCATAGCACAGTGGTTAGAGCGTCTGCTCTAGAGTCGCTGCTCACTGCTCAATGGCCCTGTGTGCCGAGTATAGGACAAAATTTGTAGCTTCCCACCGGTGAGTGGTGGCGTCTCCATATGAGTGAAAAATTCTCGAGAGGGACTTTAAACATACAATCAATCAAAGTGCGTAAAGCACCTTCATGGTGAAAAATGTTGATGTAAACTCTTAACGCACTTTACTTGAAAATATTTTTTTCAAAGTACATTGACCTTATCGCATATTTTTGTCCCAATTTAAATGCATTTTGAAATCAAATTTTGAAGTGCGTTTTTTTTAAATTCATTGCCTTACACGGAGACGGAAATTTATCTCTTTGTACGCATCGAATTATTGTAAGCGCATTTGCTAATCCGTCGTTAACTACCTATTACATTTATAATGTCTGTCTTAACATTTGGTTGATTTTGCAAGGAAACTCTGACTGTATTCCATAACTTCATAAACCATGACTTTTACTATGTTTTAGACTATTTCCTATTTTGGCTTAAATCCATACACACATACTGCGGAGCAGAAACCGGGAAAACACTTCAACGAAGAATTATCATCGTAGCAACACACTGGGACAATAAACAATACAAGGTACCATTCTCTCTCTTTCTTCTTTCTCTTTAAACTGTTTGCAGAACTATTAACCTTTAGCCTTCTAGACCATTGTTGAATTAGTGATGCACAAATTTATTGAATAGTGAGTAAATATTTTTTTAATATCAAGGTCTTTTATGATAAATTATCAGACATTACATAATTATTATAATTTCAGAACGAAACTAAATTTCTAGAAGCTCTGCAAAGCAAGATCCCTAGAGGTTCGCATTTACTGCAATACATACAGAGAAAGAGTTGCTTTTTCATTAAGTTTTCTCTCCGAAGAGACAATTGCAGTGTTTTTACTCGGTTTTATCTAGAACCTTTAGATAATTTAAAAGAACATATCATAGAAATTATCTCAGAAGAAAATTGGGAGGTAAAGATACCGAGAGAGTGGGCTTTACTAGATATAAAATTCAATCAAAGAAGAGCTAAATGGAAAATCTTGAGAGAACAAGATATTGAAATGAAGACTCAGAAAGACAGTCCGCAAGATAACACTAAAAGGCAGACGTCTAAGAAGAATATGCTACGGTACTTTCACGACGCAGGAAAAGTACTGTACTTTAACGAAGAGGGTTTAGAGGATTCTGTCATCATTGACATACAATGGTTTGTAGATGCCTTTAAAAACATCATTACAGACAAACTAAACTTGGATGGAATTTTTGCTACTAGGAGTGACTGGGAGGAGTACTATCATACTGGATATCTAAAGGATTGTGTTCTTGAAGCAATTTGGAAGCATAAAGATGAACAATTAGACAAACAACTGACAAAGCATGAAAGCTTGGAAGACTCGGATTTTCCGGATGACGAGATTTTTTTCGATGTTAAAGATCAATCTCTGCGTCAAACAAGCGAAGGCAATCAACCCAATCAATATTTCCAACAGCATCGAAAAAGTCTCTTGAATGTCATGGATAGACTTGGATTAATAGCCACTGGTTCAGAATCCCATTACATTCCTTGCATGAACCGAAAAGAATTTGACGAAGAAACTCAAAGAAAACTTTTTGAGATAAAGAACAAATCTTCCATATTAGTCTTTCAGTTCAATTTTCTGCCTTACTTCTTTTTCTTTCGTCTTGTTGTCGCCTGCATGCACCAAGACAGATGGATTGTGCGCAAAAATCAAAATTTGCCTTGTCTTTACAGAAATGCTGCTTTGTTTTCCTTCCATGATCATCATATTGCAATTGCAGTAACAGTAACGTCCATACAGCTCCAGGTGTACCAGCCAATATCCAGTCAATCATTGGATCTGCAAAAAACTAAAGAAATCCAAAGCTCTGTAGAAGAAATGCTATACAAAATTTCAGCTACGTTTGATAGAAAAATTGATTTTGAGAAGGGTTTTAGTTGCAAAAATGAAAATGAGCAATCAATAGGAATGGACATTGAAGAACATTTCATTCCAGAGAAAGAAATCATACTTGGAGAAGAAGTCGTTTGTCCAGTTCATCATGGTAGGGATTTGCATACTATTAATACAGAAAAACTGACAAAATACTGGAAAATTCACGCAAGGTCCGCACAAAAACCTTTTTAAATCCATGACAGTACATTATGTAATATGTATGATAAAAAATCAACGATTTCAAGTTCGAAGAATAAAAGGGGAACATTTAGTATTGACGTATGCAAAATATTAACTAATAAATATCTTTGAAAATTTCACATCTGTATACGATGGAGAAAAAAAACTAGAAAATGCCTTTAGTCTCTATAAAAAAAAATACAATTGTGTATAACGTTAGTAGCTCTATATTGCATATCTTGATGTGCAGATGTGATACCTCTCCATTTATTGAGTATTTACAATCATAAATCCTAACCTTGTTCTTGTATATAATTTCATTAGTATGGTTATAAGTCCTTAGTCTTCAACGGGAGACCTTTTCTTTTGTTTTTCTTAGTAATCTTTTTTCACCTACACTGTATCTTAAGGTCTGGATCGTATTTAGTTTGTTATTCTGAGGTTTCTTTTCCGCTTATTTTTTATTATTGTTTCTAACCGATTTTGTGTACAGTTCTCGGAAAAGACTCGCTCGACTTTCATGAAACTTGCAGGTCTGATACAGCATCCGAAATTCATGACATATGTTTTTTTTTCGTTTTGATCACTTCTGATACGTCAAATTACGTCACTTCCTGTCAAACAGGAAATAGTCGTAAATCGCTCATTTCCTATGTACGTCAGGCTAGATTTAAGTTAAAGATAGTACTAAAAATGTCCAACATCAGTCTGATCTGCTTGTTGTTTTTCAACATACTCGTCTCACGATTATGTTTTCCATACATATCGATTTTGTGCACTCAATTTTTCGAAAATACTTGATAGATTTTCATGAAACGTTCAGAAAATATGTAACTTTACTTGAACCTTACGTGTTCTTTCTGTTTTGATGACTTCACTTCCGATCAGAGCTATTGAATTACTGATTCTGAGGCTAGAAAACAAAACAAAACAAAAACTCGATACATAGATTTGTATTAATATTTTTTACCTAGTTTGGTTTAAAATGATTTAAAACTAAGTTTCTAAAATGTTAAGAAATTGTTAACTTCCTACAATGTTCCCCAGTCATCTTTATTAGTCTTTACAATGTATTGTAACTTAAAATCCAATTATTGTGAAACTTTGAAAAGAAATTAAAATTCACGCGGTGAAACTTACTCAATTTTTTTATATAAACGTGACTGAATTTGTTATTTTCAGGATTCTTGAAAAACAGTGTTTGTATCATTCTTTAGAATCATTGCTGTTGCTTTTGGTGTACATTTTTACGTGTATCATTTTGATTTTAGTGTGTTGCTTTGCTTAATCAGTCATATATTGAGTTGACGTTTTTTCTGAATATATATTTGGTGTTTTTTTTCAAATATATTTGGTTAGCTGTAAATTTTGTTTTTCATACACAGTCTTTACTTCAAAAACGACTGCAATTTAAGTAAAACATTTTGTCAAACCCCATTACTACCTCAGAAACCCATATACCATACAAAAGAGATAAAAAAAAAAGTTCAACGAATTACAATGGACTTCATTATTTAGAAACAAGATATGTCAGTCTTGAACTACCGGAACAATACAAATTTGGTAATATTGATCTTAAGTTAGCACCACAGCCCCGCAATACCTCAAAGAAGTAATATCGGAAAGCTTTGACAATCAAAGCTTAAGAATGTAAAATGTGACCGAGACTCGTTTTGTGTGTATTGTTCTAAAATTACGATACAACCTATTTTGACTCACTTCAGGTTGTTTGAAACACTCCCAATTCCAAGATACACCAACTAACCAACGAGGTTTGTTAATTCTAAGTCTTGAACAGAGGGCAAGAACCAGACACATTTTATATCAAGACATAAAATCTTAATTTCAATACGAAGCACGTTGACCTCGTTTATGTTGTTTGGTGTTGCTAGACATCTATCTCCCCCCCCCCCCCTACATCACCTTTCAAAGTTTGAGGTTTACGGTCTCAGTGAATTCATGGAGACATACATTCTATTACAACGGCCTCTAGCTATAGATGTAACGATGAGCAAGAATTTAAATGTTCGTATGTAATTTGATTGTGTAAAACCATACAATTCCAAACACGTGGTAATGTTGATCTTCTTTACCAAAAAGTGTTTACTGATCGTAAATCTCGCAGGCTGCAGAACAATTATCAAGACTAGTGCACGATTTGAAAGTTCTGTAAACTTACATTGCGCAACTAGGATCAGGATAATATTTGTCAACTTATACAACTACTAATATATTACAAAATGACGCTAAATATAATATAATTCCTTGTACACAAAGAACCTGATTCACTTGTCGCAAAATTCGGCCCCGTGTCAAAATTAATAATATTCCTCTAAGTTCTTCTAAAGAGTGTATATTTTTATGAAATTATCAATATATACCTGTACAGAGCTTTATTTATGTTTTACGTAGCTGTAAAGGTAGCATTGTTTACGTTAACGTTGCGATATTTTGACGTTGATTTATGCGACGTCATAAACAAGAATGGGATACAGGATATTTCAAAATAAGTCCAGCTAGCATGCATTTTTCATTTTGAACGTTTAATGAATTTCATTCACAAACGTAACGCGATATTTTTTGTTCAACATTGATATAGCATACGATACTTACTAGATTCATTTTCCATAATTAATAGCAAATCTATGAATCAATTGGTATGTTTGGATTTGATTTTGTAAAAAAAAAAATCGTATTTAGAGAAAAGTTGTGCATTTGGAGAGTTTTCATGTGTTCGCGGACTGATGCCATGAGATTCATACAGCTACAATATTTTAAAGAACTTTAAATATTAAAAAAAATGTACTTGTAAATGTTGAAAAAATCAACTTGATTCTTTAAACATTTTACTATTTCATCGTTAGTGGATGACCCTGCTCTATATGTCGCCCTTTAAATTGCTTAATGGCAACGTCATTGCTTCTCTATCTTTTCTCCTTCTGCCTCAATACACTTTTCTTAAAATAACGAGATATCATCGTATTGATAAATTTTTATTGAAACTGATCTTGTTAATATGATTTTAAAATTTTATAAACAACTGATTTCAAAACACAACATTGAAGATTGAGCAACGATGAAGAAGAATGATCCTCAGTCAATTATTTTGCTCGTTGAATTTCAATTTCTACCGTTGCGAGTAATTTTACTTTTCAACAACGTATAACTGACTTTGGACACTCGCACAGCGATTCAGCACAAAATTATCTCTACTCTACCTTAACCATTTGTTGTTTTGATTAAAAAAAAATAAATAAAAATCGTCATCTGGACTAATTTTGTCTTATAAGTAAAATATATTTTTTTCTCTGGTCCCCCCCCCCCCCCACTTTCAAAAACGATGCTACGTGCCTGACCAAATTTGTAAACGACTAAAATGATTATAATTGCCGTTGTTATAGAAAATGATTTAGTGTGTATGTAGCTGAAGCCCTATGCCCACTGATCTGGGGAAAAAATGGAATGGACCACCGTCACCATAAAACTACATTCAATTCTGCACTTAGTGTGCATGTCGCTGTGGCTCGCCGGCTTTTGGCCTTCTTGTCTTTCTTATTTTATTTTTAAAAACAATATTCCAACAGCGAATTCGAAGTAAATTCATGTTATCATAATTATGTCAGGTTTTCTGAAAAAAAAAAATGTAGAGTTTTGTTCTAATACATGCAGATATGTTACTATTTTCTACGTGATACGCGTATTGAACAGACCGAATTTCCAACGATGATTTACACGTGTTACATATAACCTTCACATTTTCACAATGTCAAGGTTTTGTGTTATCGTTCTTCTTCATGACGTTGTATACGAGAGGTGAAATTTCACAAAAAAATTGAGATGTGTAGGTATATCGGTTGGTACATAGATGAGCTAAATATTTGTACATTAATTCACCCTGTAGTAAACCAGGAGAGAAAGGTACATGTACCACACGGTTTATTTAAGGAATAACCGTAGGCGATTATGCATAAAATTATCACGCAAACCAATCGATTGATCATTGTCATAAATTGAAAAAAATCTGACAGTTATTCATTATTTCGTATAATGTGCAACAGCAACTTCCATGGAGCAGATTAAAAACATAAAACAAAACAAACTTTGAACCTATTTCCTTCCTATATATCTTTTACACAGTGTATTTTACAAGGTATTCTTGAACGTTGCATCCCCCCCGCCCTCATCATTTTTGGTTGTATGCTTTATCAGTTTGGCGCGTTTGAAAATTAAATCAAAAGAATTGAACAAGATGCAGCCCCCTCGGAAGACAGATCACTAAAATGTATTTTTAAGCGGAGGGGAGGGGGGTCATATCAGATATATAATAAGATTGATATAGTTTACATGTTCTATGGCGGACATATATAATGAGGTGAGAACAATAACATTATTTGAAATATTTAAGTCACTTTGTCATAAAAACACGTGTTTAAGTCCGAAGCACTAATAATCATTGATAAGCAAAATATAGCTGAACATTCAGTTCAGTGATAATTATGCGTATATTTTTTTTTACATAACAAAAAAGTTAAGACAGAGAGCGCGAGAGAGAGAGAGAAGTAAAAAGTTGAGGTTGGAAGAGTATCATTATGTTTATCTTTAAAATAAAACATCAAGTAAAACTTCACCATTTATTTAGAAGGTAGAGGGTAGAATGAATGAATTAAAAAAAATTTTGACATGAAAAAATATATAATTAACGTAAACTGAGAATATAATACAAGTTAAGGACATATACGAGCCCTTTCGAAACTTTACACATTTACACAGATATCTCATTACAAGTACATGTACCTATAGAGACAATCGATTGATTGATTGGTTGATTGATTGTAAACTTGTAGTTTAATGTCCTTATGGAGAATATTTCACTCATATGGAGACACCACTTAACTAGCCGGTGGAGAGCTGCAAATTTTGTCTTATGCTCGGCACTTCGTCAGGGTCATTGAGCAATCGGATCACACTCGCCCTTTTCCGTATCTGATAAAAAGTTATTTGTGGTTACGGAAATGGCCGATTAGTTACGATTGGGTCATTGAGCAGTGAGGTATTTTTTTTCGTGCCAGCATCTCGGTTTATACGATCTCGTTCGAGCTGAAGAACCTGTCTCCACGACCCACAATGGATTCGAAC